ACATCTGGTGAAAATTTCATGTCATTAGCACCTCTAGTAATATATTTACTGAGAAAAATGTTGTCGTGTTCAATACTTATTTTACCCGCTGTACCTTTCGTTATCTTTGAGAGTAATATAACAATGGTTAAAGATGGTAAGATTGGAAACCTCCTACATCTTATGAGGCATTAGTTTCTGCTGAATTCCAAACATTTCCAACCTGCCTTTAAATGAATGTGTGCTGACCCAAAACCAGTTTTTTTGGTGAGTGTCTCTGTCCTTATTTACCCATTGACAAAATTACTTAATTGTTCAGGTTCAAGCATATCTTTTTCTTCTACACATAATTTATTCTTATGGAGGATGCTGAAACTCTTAACAAAGATTAACCCAAGCAGTTCAAGTATAACTTCTTTTCTTTGCATACTGATTTCAGTGTGTTGTTGTAGCACCTTTGTACTTTAAACCTCCTCATGTTTATCTGAAGATTAAAGTGAACTGACCAGCACACAGAAGTTTGCTATTTGGATTTACTCCTGAATTTCCAGCTTTGCCAGAGCCAGCGATTTTAGGAACGCGAGCTCACCATTTCAAGTCTAGACATTTGCAAGAAATAATTATAAAATTTAGAGTTTAAAAACAAGAGTAAGGGTGGGAAAGGTAACTGCAGGTCATGAATGAGGTGACTCAGAGGCATGAAACTAGAAACAAATGCACATTGTTAAATTGTCAAGTAAAAGTCAAAGCATTTAAACATTTAGAAAAAAATATGTATTTGCATTCAAACGTTTATAGTTACATTCACTGTTGCCTGTTCAATGGTGTAGTTTCCTCAAATATACCTTGTAAATATATTTAAACAAGCACGTTGAAATGTGATCTAACTGCAGGAACAGACTTCAACTTTTTTGCCCAGTTAAAGTAAATCACATTGACTCTTGCATCATGTCTCGTTTGATGCCTTTTTGTAGCAAAAAAAACACAAAATCTAGAAATTTTATCAGAAAACCCATCAGATGTTAGTCCTTCATGTTGACCAAAATGGCAATTTTTGTCAATATAGTCCAGGAAGTTGTATTATTTCATAAAATCCACAGACAAAAAGGAGGAGGGCAAAAGTGTAAAAGGAAGTGTTCATATTTTATAGCTCATATTACTGGATTTCACTTGATTTTTCCTCTGATTCTTGGATTTTAGCATCCTGTAGAAGGAAAAAAATATTAACAATAAAATCAACACTTGATTGATGTACATCAAAGCCGATATTAAAATGCAATGAATAATAAAACGGTAGTTTTTTAATCATGAATAACACTGCAAATGCTAAATATATGTTGTTTACCTACCTGTACACATAGAGGATGATAACTGCCAGCACCACTAGTATGAGAATGGCAACAAAGATCACAGCTGCTAATAACCCCCTGTCCTGCTCAGTTTGGACTGGGAGCAGATATTGCTCACACCTGCTTCCTTTATAATTTTCTCTGCATCTACAATGAGAAAGTTTACAAAAATATGGAATTCAGCCAATGAAATTCTCACTTTAGGCATCCATGTATTTTTACGTTTAAGCTTCTTGTTTAAAATAATTTTAAAAAGTTGTATTTAATGAAACTTACACACAGGAAAGCAAGTTCATGGAAGATATTTTATAACATGTAGCTTCATTCATGCAGTAACCGGCCTCCTTCGCATCGCAGGGTTGTCCATGTTCTACGAAACCAAAATTGAACCTTTATTTGTGATTTTACTTTTTGACAAAGCTATATATTTTTTAAGGAAATTATATTACCTGCCATCATTTGGAATGCTTTTCTCTTGCTGTCCACGTAGATTTAAAAAAGTGTGCACGTTTCTGTTTTTAATGAAAGGATTCCCAGTAAAGAAAAAGTGTCGTAAAAGACCAAAAATGAAAGCAATATATATATGGCTTCATAAAAAAAATGTTTCTCTTGAAAAGTAAATCGATAAAACTTTAGCTTCAACACAGAAATGGGTCAGTCCCTTAAATAAAATGTAACAAACTCACTCATATACCAGCTCATAAAACTCCAGCTTTAAGTCTCAGGATTCTGAGGTAAATCTCCGTGGTGTCTGGATCTCTGAATAGTTTTCTCACGTGGGCGTGCTTTCCAAAGAATGTTGTGATGGCAGTTTGTCTACTTTTGAATGTCAAATGAAATGTCATTACTACCCACTGAAGCTGCATTTATTAGCATTTTGTAATGTTCAACAATATAAATACTTCACAAATGTCACAGAGGCAAAAAGCCTTTTGTTCTGTTTTTATTATGTTGAACGCACGTGTATGCCATCTGGTTTTATTTTTAGGTAAATCATGACGTCAGGCAGAGGATGGGCAAGAAAAATACCTGTTGTTTTTTGGAACGCAGCCTTTCAGGGTTTGGTAAGAGGCATGAATGACTGGAATGTGTGAAAGGCATGAATGGAGCTGTGAGAACTTTTTTTTAGTACAAGTTWAAAAAAATCATCACTTCCTTCTAAGTAAAACTACTACACAGAACCGTTACTCATCTGGATTTCCCCCCCTCCCACAGGTTTCACATTTCAATGGAGTGAATGTCAAAACTTTGCTTTTAAATAGTTTTTTATTTTAATATCTACAATCTCGCTGGTGAGATGTGAGGCTTTTCCAGAAATTTTTACATTTAATTTGACTTGTATGAATTAATAAGGAAGGAACTACAACTCATTTCAATATTAAATGTAGTTTCAGTTCACAACAGATTGTTTCAGGGTTCAATTGGTGAGCGTTAGGAAATCTGCTGTCCTTTGTGCAGAAACTTACCTATATTTCTGTATGAAAATACATTATTCATTTATTATTATTATTATTATTATTATCATTTAAAATAAAAAAGATGCTTTATAATTATTTTTCACAGATGTTTTTTGTTAGCGGTAGTAAAATGTGTTTTGTGTGAATTTGTTTTCATTACTTTAGAACAACTTTTACTTATTTTCTATGTTTGCTCTCAGCAACAGTGAATTTTATTTGGAGATATTTTATAGAAGGGGTTTTATTATAGTTATTTAAACCTTAGTTTGAAAAAAAATAGAGTTGAAATCTGACCCAATCKATGAGCTACTGGCTAGTCCAAGCAGGTCTAAGACCAAAGTGTATGATTGCTCTCTTAAAATAATTTCAATGTCAAGAAATTTATAATTTGTCCAATGCCTTTATAAAGCTTTAAACTTTGCTTTCTAATAAAATGTTATAATATTCCTGCCTGAGCTGGAAATGTTAACACTTAGCTGCTGCTGTTTTAACTAATAGCTCAATATAAAACCAAGTGTTGTAAAGGTTATTTTAAGATATTAGCTTGTCACACTGTGATCAAAACTAAATGTTTCTTAGAAGCAAGGTTCAGGTATCTAAACCAGGTGTTATATTAAATATTTAAGCTTTTTACAGATCACCACTTCAAAATAAGCAAAGAAGTTTTTATTTATTATTTTCAAAATATATATATTCCTTAAAAACAGGTTCAAATGATATCTAGGACAGGTAAGATATTCATTGTTTATACTTTTTTCTCAGAACCTCACTTCACTTTTTTTTAGCGCATGATCCTGTGTTTCTGTGTAAACAAGGGATCAGAGCATTTTTTTAAACTCATTTTGTGTGTATTCCAAGCTTTTTAAAGGTAGCACGACCCCAACTGGTTGCAGCATGACCTGATCACTTGTTACCCCATGTTTTAGTCGTGTGTGTCTTCTTGAACGGGTGTTCTTAAATGTATTTTCATTGTGCAAATGATGACAATAAAGGCTTTCATCATCATCATCATCATCATCGTCATCATCATCAAATTAAGTAGTAGGATTATTTTTTTCTTTTTGTTTGAAAGGCCAAACAAATGAATATATTAGCCTGTAGTGGCAAAAGTCTGGAAACAGAAATGATGCAGTGAACTAATAAACGCTTAAAGTTACCCCGTAGGCTACTATCAGGATCTTGGCTGCAGACCGCGGCATGGGGCGGGGTCGGACGTCTGACCCCGCCCTCAACTCTAAAATTAACCAATCCCCGATGCTAAATACTAAAAATTAACCACGCTCAATTTTTTAAACCTCCTATTAAACTTCCCTACGAGCCACGATCACACCCATTGGACGTCCGACCCCGTCTAGTATCCCAATCCGCAGTCTGCAGCCGGGGGTACTTGACTATCTGTGGTATTTTATTTTCCTTTTTATTTATTTACACCCCCACCTCACCCCCATTCTTCCCTCGTGCTGGCGGGTTGTTATCGCGCGATGAGCTCAGCGAGAGCAGGTTTTTTTTATTATTTTTATTTTTTACATCGACGCTTCTAGGGTGGCTCAGAAACAGGGACGTACTTCGAACTCGTTATTACAGAGTACGTTTTATTTATACATTTATTTAACTGACACAACTGCGTAGGCTACATTTCTTTCTTTCTTAAAATCTCACATTTCGACGTCGTGTATATACGGCGCGCGACGTGCATCTTTAACCATTGGAATCCCTGTTTTCAGCACCTGGACAGCTCCCCGTCTCGTCCGCTTCTCTCTCTCTCTCTCTCTCTCTCTCTCTCTCTCTCTCTCTCTCTCTCTCTCTCTCTCTCTCTCTCTGTGTAATAAATTGTGTTGTGGTGAGTGAAAGCGAATATGAAAGCAGCTCCAGTGATGATTTGATCATCTGGGTTTCTCAGAGTAAAGCAGATCCNTCGGAGTCCCTGGTGTGATTGTAGGGGAAGCCCTGCGATCACAGTAGTAAACGTGGCCCTTCCCCATCCCCCTCTCGAAGATGCCGTTATCCCGCTGATTTGGTCGCACAGCCTCTCCGCCGTGAAGGATGGTGCTTCCAGCCCGGAGGAGGAGGAGGTGTTTTCATCGGGAGCTGTCCTCCGCGAGGCGACACGGCTGCGTGGCGAATTTCGGGCTGTTTGCGACCCACCCCCCGACACTACCCGAGCTTCACTCGCTCTCATCTTCATCCCCACCGTSCCCCCTGCGAGGGCAGAGAAGTCARGACCGCTCTGGTCACAATGTAGACCACACACAAGACAAGAGGTTAGTGTGTCTGTTTCGAGCCTTCGTGTGTTTGTGTTGCTGTAATCAGCCAGAAGAATGAGGTTGAACGGCCTMTGAGCACAACATGTTAACAGCCTCATAACTGTTTATACACATATGCTGGGAAATGATTGCAGTTGCTACCTTGTTGCGTTAAATGCTGACAGATTGTGCAGAAACAGCCCACAGGATTTGTTGTGTGAAATGAAACAAGCTTGTGGAAATGTGCTTTTTGTAGGCTGTTACAAGGGCAACTCAAGATATGATGTTAAAATCTTTTATTTTTATTTTTTTTGACAGATCATTTGCTCCTCTGTGACCTTTCCAGAGTCTCGGTGTCCCCTACAGATTTAGGCTATAAATCCCAAACGCACAATGAGATTAGTAGCTGCACTTGTGTTCTTTCCTCGGTTTTCTGTTTTATGCTGATCATTTTAGACAGCATTTCATGTTAAATTGCAGCTCTAATATTCCCTGAATGAAGGCACATCACTTGTCCTCTTCGTGACAGAGTTTTAAACTGAGATCATATTGAGAAATGATGGAGCTCATTGTGGTGAACCTTGAATATAACTTTATGAGCAATCTCATGCAATGTTGACCAGATATCACAGAGTATGTGTTGTGCATCACACTGCTACCATATCAAAATTTAGCTCAATCAGCTCCAGATGTTAATCAGTTGTAGATGTATATCCAAAGGTTGTTTTCTGAAAGTTTTCTGAAAACACACAGTGGTTCATGAGATATGTTCCTAACAGTGGCAAATGAACATGCGCGTGTGTGTGTGTGTGTGACTTCTCCTGTCTGTTTAACAGCTGGATTGGAGTCTCACTCAGCTGACTCAGATATAAATGGTTCTCTATGCTGTGGCACAAAGATCCGGCATCCTGCTGTACTTGATATGCAAGAGGTGTGATCTTCCTGAGATCCTGGTTCACCAAACGGACACTATTTTGGAGCAGATTTCAAATCCGTTATGGCCAAAGTTTTTGGGCAGGGCACACCTAAACCCAGGGTCAAGAAAAAGCTTAAAATAGTTCTTTTTAATGGAAACTTTGTGTTCCTTAACTTCATTATGTTTCATGCACTTCTAGAATAAATGCTTAACTTTCACTATATTAACTGCTATACCGAAACTTCTTAAAACGACACGACATTCACAATGCACATCATTTTTTTCATTGTTTTAATTTGGCTTTTTCTGTGTTTATAGGTCAGGTTTCTGCATTGGTGACATCATCCTTCACGCTTGATCTCATTTAGTGTGGACTGTTAGCAGCAGCAAGTCCCTGACATGAGCAACACCCAGTGAGTACAACGTCTTGCGTGTGTGATGTGTCAAAGCACGAAACGCATTAAAATTTTCAGATTTTAGAGTTTGATTGGCAGAGTGGAAGCTGGATTTTCTCCTAACCTTGTGAGTGTGATGCTGAAGATGTGAGAGAGCAAACCCCTGCTGGGTCCTCGTAGCGTTCAGGAGTGGTGTTCACATGTCATCTTCTCTTATTTTAATTACTCTCTCTCCATGTGTGTGTGGTCCTCCAGACATCCCCACCTGCATTCTGATTACTGTAGGGGAGGGGGCTAAGAAAGAGGGACAGGGAGGGGAGCTGAGTGGGAGGAAACGGAGTGGAGTAGTGTGGAGCAGAGTGAGAGGTGAATGCAAAGTGTGTTCAGTCAGCTGCATCTACTGCAAAGCTCAGGATGCTGCTTGCAGACAATAGAGACCTTCATCCGAGTTCAAACCATTGTTTATGGTTAATTACACATCATTTTTTWTGGATAAAATTAATTGCAAARCATCTGCACCCAAATAATAGAATGTTCCAATTAGGTACCAATGACTTTTGATGTAGTGACGAATAGGAAACCATCGTGCAGAGTAAGTCTTCACAGTTATTTTTCATTGATGCTGCCCTCTGCTGACCCCTGCTCTGAGAGCTTTGGGACGTGGGAAGAAAAATATTACAAGTTCTGAAACAATAAGCTCAAATATATTTGTTTATATACTGTAGTTTGTTTAAAAAGTTAATGTTCTTTAATGTGTTTCTTTGCTGCTAAAACACTTCAATACTGCATGGATTTAATTTACCAAAACAAAGTTCTGCACAGTTTTTCTGACTAAAATATGCAGTTGTACATTTAGGGTATTTTGCAAGTTTGGTGTCTGCAGCTTGAAAAGTTTCCACAACAAACGATGAGAGAAGCATTGTACAACTCTCCATTTATTTCAGTGTATAATTGGAAAAATATTTTAGGATACATGTGTCTGTTATGTGCATATGGCTTCATATATCAGTTACTTTTTGTTATTGTAAACAACGCCTATAAAAAATAACAGTAAAAGTCTGGCTTTTATTGAAAGAGTGCATGAAGCCGCCCATCGCCTTCCAGGTCAAGTCCACCATAAACTCTCAGGAGGTAATTTTGAGTTGCATATATGTGACCCATCACATCGAAACGAGGATTAAGTCCAAAAGTGGAATGTGGACAGATAGGCAGATTTAAACGTCTTCAAAAATTGTATTTTGTCAAAATATAATGAATTAACGCTTTTTCAATGAATCATTTGAATGAACTGTCTGAAATATTATCCTGAAATAAAATTTTGAATTATTTTCTGAGCAGCAGCAACAAAAAAAACTGATTTTGAGGAAAATTGCCTTAAAATTTAGAAATTTTCACTGTGAGCTAGCAAAGTTTTTGTTTCTTTCCAGCTGGGAAATCTTAATATACAAATACTATTCGAGGTTTCCTCTTTATATTAACATCAAAATTACTCAATAAATTTACATAAAATTAGGATTCAGACCAAACAGTAATGTATTATCATAACCAACAAGACAAATTAAGTCATATCTCTGGATAAGCTTGTAATATCAGAATGATCCAGGTATCAAAATGTAGCTTTTAAAGCTAGGAATCTGAAAATATGATTAGGTCATTTCGACCAAATTTGACTTAATCTTTAATTCGAAATGATGGGTCACATATAACCCATTTAACAATGGACAATCTGCTAATCAATCCTAACTTCAAAATGGCAAAAGCTCAGTGATTTTTACAGAGATATATTTAATGATTTGGTGTGTAGTTGCTTGTAGTCCTTCACAGCACATACTCTAACTATTGCCAGGTCATGTGAGATCTTGTGACATCACATGAGACTGGGCAAAGTGTCCAACACCTGTAAACGAGATGATCTTTATTTAAACCTCTGCCATGAAAGGTGGTGGGAACATGTGTTTCTTTGAAGAATTCTTCTTCTTAATTTTCTAAATGGAATGAATGAAATGTCGGGGCACAGTTTAGTCAGAACACAACAGGATTACTTAAGCAAAGTTTTCCATATGCAACCTGTCTTCAGGGTTGTTTTTGTCACAGCTGAAACACTCGACTCCACTCCTCTCTTCTTTACTGCAGGGTRTGTGTTTTTGGAGATTGTTGTACAGATCTGAATTACACAACAGCTTTTTGAAAAGAACACACAGTACCCAACCTGATGGTTAATAATAGCACAGAAAACAGAGCTGAGACTAGCACAGTTTCATAACTCAAAACTCCGTTTTTCAACTTTTGACTTTTCACTCCAGGTAGGGCAGGGTTTAAAGTTGTGACGAGATGAATTTGAGGAATTTTAATCGGAGACTTTATCTGACATTCCTCTGCTAATCTCAACCAAATGAGGTATTTTTTAGACCCAAGAGACCCTTAGAGTCAGCTGATTTGGTAATGACTCCCAAAATCTTCTCACATGCAGAAAAAGAGCATTTTTAGTTGTGCTGTATAAACATGTCAAAATGACTTGAAGATTTGAGATTTTGGGATAAAATGTTTTAGTTTTTTTTATTATTATTTATTTATTTTTAATCAAAGTTACCCTCTTTCCAGTAACTCAAGGTTAAAATGACAAAAAATGAGTCAACACTGAGATGAAAATTTTAAGTGTTGGTCACCACAAATAGACGTTTGTAGTAACAGTCATGGAAAACACTTGTTAAATAAATATGTAGCAATAAATATGGGGGTGACGATTCCTGGCACTACTTGCACACAGTGATGGAAGAAAATGTTTCTAAATACATAAAATACTGAAACAATCAAGGCTGTCAAAACATGGTGATGTAATAATATCTGTCAGGGTTACATTTAGAAACGTGTGCTAGTTTGGATGCATTCTTTTCACACCCGGTCTCCGAAGCCATGCATGCGCTATGGTATTCTCTTTTTTTGGGCTTCCTTGTGGCATTTGCTATTACTGCATTTCTCTGAAACAGCCTAGCCTTTAGCTGGTTTCGCCACAGTGTTTGGCTCCTCTCTTCCTCTCCAGGATCAGTCATTCGAAACTGTGCTCTAAATAAAAAGGCTCCTGGCCGGCTTTGCAATTGTCGGAAAACGTGATGTTGATGCACTAAACAATTTGTGTCTGTCATGAGTGATTAGTGTCCTTGTTGCATTTGGTCACTCGGGCTGACTCCACAGATAACACCGGGATGCAAAAGGCTTGTGTTTTTGTGACGGACGTGTTTGACCCTTAAGCTGAAAATACATTTATAGCTCGAGTGGCGTAACAACTACAGTCATCAAGAACACAAGAAAAGAAGGAGTTTTATGTTGAGGCAAAAATAGAATAGGCAACGTTTTAGAGTTGCTATCTAAAAAGTAAACAAGAAGACAACCAAATCTACATGCATTGAGTTAAAATGGGTGTGTTCTTTTTCTAAACCTTTTTTCTATGTTGTTTCTCCTCCACCTCAGAGGTCATAGATTTCACCAGCTCTCTGTCCTTTCTCATAACTTGTCTCGTAATCAATGCCTTCCTCCACTGATAAGTACTCCAGTTATTGATGCCTCCATGCTCACTGCACTGGGACTGCATCCAAGTAATGTGCTCCTCCTGTTCCAGGGTGACTTATCCTTGTCCGCTATTGGCTGAGCTTGCAGGATTGCAGCTCTCCCTACATATTCAAGTTCAGATAAAATGATACCTGGTCTGGCTTTGCAATGATGGCAATAAACCGAAAGAAAAAAAAACTATAATAGACATCTTTTTTTCGTTCTTTTTTGCTGTCTACATGCAAACACTAAATTATTATCCAGGTTTTCCATTATTATGATTATTATTATTAGTCTTAGGTTACAAAATATCATGTCAGTATAGCTCTAAGTCTTACTAAAGTCTACATTTAGATATTTAGTTTAAATGTTATTAATATTATAAACCAATGGTTGGCTGGATTTAGCCTACTGTATAATTTCAAGAAAAGTTGCACRTAAGGAAAAGTTGAGTGCAGAAATTTACAAACATTTAAAAGTTCTTCTTTGAAAATGTAATGGAAAAAGGAACAAAGCATTGCAATACATAAAACAGCCCAGAACTTACCTGATACATACATAAGTACTAGGGGTGCAACGACACAGGAAATTCACGGTTCGGTTCGGTTCGACACTTTAGTCTCACGGTTCGATATTTTTTCGATACGAAAAAGAGAAATTTCCATGCCCCTTTTAACTAGTAATTTATTTATATTAATTATGAACGTTTGTTTAACCTCAAAAGTACAGTTTTTAAATTAAATGTTGCTGAAACAGCAAGTTTCTCAGTGGATCTGCGCTCAAAAATGCAGCCTAGGTGGAGTAGTCGAACACAGATCCACTGATCCTTTAACACAGAGCATCTTCAGAAGACATGTTGATAAAGTAAATTTTTTAAATCTGTATTGTTCGATACAGCACTGTTCGATACGGTTCGATACGGGTACATGTATTGTTGCACCCCTAGTAAGTACAGGGTATGAATCTGCTACTTACCTTAGTACTTGCCATGTAAAGAAAATTCCTGGTACCTGGTGAGTACTGCAGACTTACCTTATAGGTTATTATTACATACCAGGATGTATCATGTATTGCTACTGAACAAAGAAAACACCTCGTATGTTGTCTGAATGCCAACAAAACACATGAAATAAGAAATCTGACACTACTTTTGACTTTTCATCCATCCAAATTAAGTTATCACACCAAATTAGTTACCACACCTTTCCCTAACTAGTTCCATTAGCTAATTTTAATAAACAACACAAATACAACCCTGGACTACAGCTCTGCCTTATGTGTACCTCGTAATATACAGACAGATAGCATCTCTGGTAAACCTAAAGCAATCAAAAGTACCCATTCAACACCTGAATATTCTTACCTAGTTGTCACTTTGATTGTGGCATGTGTTCTATGTCCTAGGGTTCCTCCCAAGGCTGGAGCTTCAGAGCTGGAGGTCATCTCCCAGCAGGTGGAGGAGGACAACCAGTGTGTGGCTCCAGTCCAACTTGTCGGCTTARCCTACAGAGACCTGCCTTTGGCAGCTCTGGACATATCCCTCGCTGGATCCCAGCTCATCTCTAACCCCGATGAGGAGGACAACAGAGATGGGTAAGCCTTAGTAAATTTTACAGATCACTGTGCATTTRTTGTTGTTGTTGTTTTTGTTTTTGTTTTGTTTAGTTTTGTTTCATTTGGAACAATTAAAGCTTTAACATCAACTTTGGCATCTTCATCATGAAAAGGAGGCTCAGCATTCAATAAATGTAAGTTATGTAAACAACACTGTCATAATTTTCTCTTGTCACGTGAAACAAACTAGAAACATGATTATCGTCATCAATGAAATTTTTCTATAATTCATTTGTACACAAAAAGGCCTGAAATCTAATTACATATTGATTGATGTTCTGGATATGTGCCTCCTCCGCTAAGAAGTTGCTGAAGATATTGTATTTGAGATATTATATTATACCATCTATATTCTACCCAACCAGTGGGAAGTTGTGCTGTCAGTCTCTCCATTGCTTGTATTTACACCTTGTAATTACACCTGGTGTGTTGAATCAGGCCTCATTTCATACTGGGGTCTGTAAGATGTGGCTTTTTGGCAGTAGATGAATTAGTGTCGCCGTGTTAAATGGGCATTGTCTCCACTCGTGTGCACTTTGTTGCTTAATGACACAGCAATTTCTCTCCTCCACGCAGACCTTGTGTTCACACCGTTGATAACTGGCAGAAAACAAAAGAGCGTTAGTGCCGTGGCTTTTCTGAAATAATAGAGCCTTGTCGTGGTACTTTCTCAGCCTGCTTGTTGTTCTGTTATCACCACATTCCCATGTTGCAGTCCTAGTGTTCTCAGGACAGGATACACCCCTCACAGAGCACTCCTCAAGCAAGTGTTCATGGCTCCCTCCACTCAGGAAGCGTGACTCACAATACTCCTGGCACGCTGTGAAGTTGGCGTCCATGCAGAAAAAGTAGACAAACAGTATAAGCTTAATCAGAGCAGCCGGCATCTCGCCATCGAAGCCCCTGGTGCATCAGCTAACCGCGCCCGCCCGCTTGGCCTGGATCAGGCTGATGGCTCTGTGGGATGGAGGGCAGGGACAGATGGGTCCTGTCTCAAACACCCACCCTGTCAGGCTCCATTATATTCACCTCACTCTCAGGCTCATGTAATGAATAGAAAACATGCATTATTAGCAATGCCAGAGCAAAGGGAAATATCTGACAACTTCCCAAAATTAACTCCTCCCAGAGTGCTTTGAAATTAACACCATATGTCTCCTGAGACTTGGTGATGTGCAGTGGAAAAATCATGACATCTCCAGGGAAAACGCAATAAATAAATTAAATATTAACTATAATAAAAAGGGATCTATCTGATTTATTCAAGTTAATGTCCATCCTTAACAACTAAGTGGAAGGATTTGGTAAAGTGGTGAAAATATGTTCAGTTTCTAAACTAGGTAAGTGTCGTAGTATGTTTGGAATTCCTGATTTTCAGGTCACAGGCATTTCAAGATGCGCTCGTCATTACAGTTTCATGCACTTGTTTATCATTTAGCCGAACTGATACTGCTCCCTCTGTGACTCAGCTGTGTGACATCTGTGGAATGAAACAATGATGGGATGTGTTGTGTGCCGCATGATTTGTATTTGTCAAAACTACCAGCCTTGCATCATAGAGGATTTTTTGTTTTGTTTTTGTTGCAGAATGTAGATTTAGGTTTTGCACTCCGGATGTGATTGTGTACACTTGTTGCCTCACTACGATAGCTATAGGCTTCCATTTTGGAAATGAAAAATAAAACCAATTTGTTTATCCTGCCTTAAACTTTCTGTACTTGCAGTTTACTTTCTAGTTATGCTGTTTTTTTTTTTTTTTTTTAGATATGAGTACTGGAGCAGAAACATAAACAAGTCTGTCTATTGTTTTCTCTTCTGGTGAATCTGTTTTTATTTTCTCTCTTTGCCTTTGGTTTATAGGAAAAAAATCCAGAAAGTTTTGGATTTGTTCCACTTGCCTGTGAGAGGAAGCATTGTTGTTTTACTCAAGACCAGTCTTGGTCTTAAAACCGGTCTCAAGACCACATTTTGATGGTCTCGTCTGACCTTGTCTTGGTCTCGGACATTGAGAACTCAGAATTTTATTTCAAGAAYAGTCAAAACTACAACAGTAATATYAGTAAATTGCCATAAAATTGTGAAATTTATTTAACAGTAGGGACTATGTCAAACGTTTATCATTACTAAGGAAGCACAAAGAAAGGTGAGCTATAAATAAGTGATGTTAGCAAAGCTAACTGGCTAAAATTAGCATACTGCCTCTGTACCAAAATTCTTTACCCTGACCCTCACACAAACAGATTTAGTCAATATTAGCTATATATATTAAGTTAGCTACTGTACGTTTTAGAGCACTACAGTTTCTGTTCTTTTTTTTCTGGTCTTGTCCTCCTTCAGTCTTGGTCTCAACTTAATCCAGCCTCTAAAAGTTTTGGTCTTGACWTGCTCTCAGGTTARGTAGTCTTGATTACAACACTAAGACAAAGTTTTGAGAAAAGAAAGAAGAAAAAATGGATTTTTTGCCTTTTTTCCAATGAATATCCAAATACTTGTACTTTATAACATTGTGGARCGTGCATCTGTACAATCACAAATGACTTGAAATTGTCAACAAAAAGATTAGTTTTAAATGTGTCCATATCCCACATATCATGCTAAAATAAGTAGAAAGATAAGTAAAAGCAGATCTCAGGCTTATTTTTGGCTCCAGTTCCCTTCAGATCAGCCTGCTGTCCTGAGCATCAGCCACATATGCCACTGATCTCCAGGGGCCAGCCTGAGAGGTGTGAGAGGACAGATGGTTCACATGGGTCAACTTGCCTCTTTGACTGGAGAGGACAGAGGACAGAGAGAGAGGAGGGCCCCAAAAGAAAGGGAGGAATGGAGCAGATGACCTTCATCAACAGTTTCATTCAAAAAAACAAAGTAAACCAAACTTGTCTACTGTTTTGCATGTTTGGGCAAATAAAAATAAAAGCTTTAAAGTCACCCACTACATCCCAGCAATTACATCAGATCAAAGCTGAGAATGTCCGAGGTTAAAATAAGATGTAGCAATTTTTCAACAGAGAAATGGAGGCTGCCAAAATCTAAAATGAATCTTGGCAGGAGCAGTGTTTCACAGATGTTTGGAAGCAGAGTGAGTTGATGGGTGGCCTTTTTGTTAGTGTTTAGTTTTTGTGTTAGTATTTCTTTTGTTGTTTTCGTACACACCAAGAAGCAGCCTTCTCCGTCGTATTAGCTCACCTGCTCAGCACTGTTTGCAACACAATAAATAAACACTTGAAACCGATGTTTGTTTGTATTCACAGACATGCAAAGTGTCAAATTGTCCATTTTTTAGGCCGACGAGGAAAATCAAGTGTCCTGTTGGGGGAAAAAAACAAATTTTATCAGAAACAGCTTTTCTGCTTTCTGCTCTGGATGTGGAGCCACAATCCATCTCCATTTGTTCAGTATCTGTAACCCATTTTTCCCTGTGACAGGCTGAGTCCTGTTGTAAGATGCAAGGGTTTAGGCTATAATGCTTTACTGTGTTTAGAAACCAGTCCAGGGGTTTGGTTAATTAGCAGTGATTTTCTTAAATAAGACGAGAAGGACCAGATGCCACACAGGCTGTTAGTTACATGTGCAATTCATCACCCTCTTTTATCTCTCTTTTCCTAATTTAGTGCAAAGGTTCGGTCGTTTTTCAGGCATGAAGCAACACATGATTTATGGCACTGAGGAAGAAAACCTCCAAAATCTTTAACTCATTATCACTACTGCTTGGCTTTACTTCTGTCTTAACTGTTTGTATGCCTCCAACGCAAATACCTCAAATATTGCACAGGAAATTCATTTAATTTGGCAAATGTCTTGATTTTCATACTTTCTATGTGATTGCACTCAACATATACATCGTCTTGAGTAAAAAAATATGAATGACTGAATGCATGAATGAATAGGAGAAGAAATGTCTCCTAAGTGAGACAGTGATTGGACAGCCTGAGTGAGATGAAACGTTCCAGCCTCTGCTGTTGARAAGCCTGCAGAGGCACAGCTGTGGTCCATTTTCCTCTGCCCGAGCCTGCTGACTTCAGCAGATTGGTGTGAATTGGTTAAAGTTCATACTCAGGGGACCGTGGGGCTTTATAGTTATCAGAACAGAAAGGGAGAAACTGAGAGGAGACAGAAAATCTGTCAAGAAGTAGCATGGGAAAATGTTGCAGACTTGGAAGCTGATATTGGCTCCTGTTCAATTAAAACATCTTCCTCAGATCATTTTTCCAGAACGTATCTCGTTCCTTAGTTTTTGTGCTATTTCATCAATTTATATGTCAAAATGTTCCGCTCCTTCAGGACATTCCTGTAATGACTTTTGGTTTTTAGCAATTTGTACTTTTTGAGATATTTAGCATTTTCTGCAACYTTTTTCACAWTGAAAATGAATGAAACTGTCTGATCCTAACAATTCTTCATAATGTTCATAAAACTTTTACTGTTTGTTCTGCTTCTGCTTGTTTAACTTCTCTGAGTTAATTTCATCTTCCTTTGGCTTCTGTTTTGCTGATTTTAGCTTTTTTTGTGTGTATTTAATGTAATTCTAACCTTTCTACTAATTTTCTCTTTTAATGCTTCTTTCAGTCTCTTTCTACTAATCAGTGTGCATTGCCAATGCAACGCACACTATTGTGATTCGTTTCCCATACAAGTCATCTCAACTTTGCCATGCTTCTCCTCCTGCATACTTTGTCCTAGAGCTGCCATTGTAATTTATATCCGTAAAGCCCCTGTGCCAAATGATGGCTATGCCTTTTGGTGCCTGTAAAACTTATAGTTTTTGAAATATTAATGTTTCATAAATTATAATGACAGTCAATGGAGCCTTGTATTGGTCCAATACTGTCCCCTGCTGCATCTACACAATATGGTACTGCACCATAGTTTCATATTTAAACTCAGTAGTTCAGTGATTACAATATTAATATGATTGTATTTTGATGTTTTACTGTAACACTGTCTTTATGTTGTCCTATTGCTGTAACATATTGCACTTAAGTGTCAATAATTGCATTGGCAAGGTAAACTTATTCTGTATACATACAATCCATTCCCTGGGAGTGTCCAGTGCAACAGCTCCTATAGTCTCATGATGAGCACTGTGGCCTTTCATGTGGGAGATCAGGGTTCAAATCCAGCTAATGCAACTTTAACAAAAATCTCTTCAAACTTCTTATTGTCACACAATTACCTTAATTAAAAACACCTGCTGACGTGACAGGCACAAGCTGGTATAGAAAACACATTTGAACTTGGTCAAAGTTGATTCTGAAAGTCCAATGCTCCTGCCTACATTGTCCTACAGCTGTCATTGTAATTACTATCTGTAAAGGTCCTGTGCCAAATGATTGCTATGCCTTTTGGTACCTGTACAACTTGTAGTTTTTGAAATATTAATGTTGAAACTTTATTCCAAATTCATAAAATGGGAGTCAATGGGGCCTTGTAATGGTCCAATACTGCCCCCAGCTGTACTCAACTTGGTACTGCACCATAGTTTTCTAATATTTAATCTCAATAGTTCAGTGTTTACAATACTAATATGATTGTATTTTGATGTTTTACTATATCATTATCTTAATATTACTCTATTGTTGTAATATTATGCAGTTTAGTGTCAATAATTGTATTGGCAATGTGGCCTCTTTCTGCACACATACAAACCAACCCCTGGCACCATACTCTGCCACAGCTCTATTGGTCTAATGGTCTATGTCACGGGCTTTCATGTGGGAGATCAGGTTTCAAAACCCAGCTAACGCAACTTTAACAAAAAAAACTCTTCAAACTTCATATTGTCATTCAATTACCTTAATTACAAACACCTGCTGACATGACAGGCACAAGCTGGTAAAGAAAACACATTTGAACTTGGTCAAAGTTCATTCTGCAAGTCCAATGCGGCAGGCAAAGCCATGCTGCAATGACATGCTACATGGCAATGTACACTTGTTTTTACATCGTAAAAACCCATGTCTAGTTTCAGCTGTTTTGTGTTTTTAGCTAATTTGACCTTTGTTCAGYTAAATTCACCTTTTGTGATCATATCAGCTTTTTACTGCTTAATTCAGCACGTGTTCTTTCTGTTTCTTTGTGCYCTTTCTCCTAATTTTTAGCTATTTTTCTGCTCATTTCAGCTGTTTTAGCTATTTTATAACAATTTTCAACTTTCTGGTGGTTTTAACTGTTTTGCTTTTTAAACTACTTTTTGATATTTACTAATTTTAGCTACTTATTTGCTCTGTTCAGTTTTTTTTACACATTTTTTATGATGATTTTTCTCGTTTTCCTACATTGGGCAAAGGTCAGCTGTTCAAATTTAGCTAAAACATCTTCAGCAGCTTTCAGCAAAAATCTTTCAGCATTAAGCATTCACACTGTATTTACGCAGGAGATGCTGATTCTCTAGTTGTTTGGATTTTTAGTTATGAAAGTAAAATTGACACATATTTCAACTATTGGAAGCGCTGAAGTTAGTGTTCGGTTTCTTATCACTTGTTTAAAATTGTCTTTGTTGTGGGATTGTTATGATCGTTGCATCAGATAAGTCTATAGTCTTTTAGTTCGAACAAGTTTTTGCTTTGATAAAAACACACAGAAACAGATCATCACCTCTCTGCTTCACTTTCCCTCGAACTCGTATCTACCTAATGAGTGTATCTTGGATTTTGTCCTGACTTAATCACGGGAGACAGTATAATGAAAGAGATGGTGATAGGGTGCCGATTGCGCTCTAGGGATAGAGCCAAAACTTTGTCTTGTCTCTATAAATGTGGCCTCATTATAGGGAAAACAAAAAACAAAAAAACAGTCATCTAGAACCAGTCATCCTGCACGATGTCTTTGTCCATTTTCTGACCATCCTGCATCCAGCATCATTTACAGCAAACCATCTCTGCCATCACAGGTCACTATTGATCAGTCTCATGATCTAATCACCTCGCTCTGCTTCGCTGCCAGACGCGTTTCGATTTTCCCTCAGTGTGTTACCGCTGCATTGCTCTGACCGGCTGGTGTTTTTGTGACCTCGTGCACACCACACGCCAAGCCGCATATTTCATTTTCTTCACTCGCGGTGTCCTTTAAACCTCTGTGCACATGAGCAGCCTTTGAGGTATCGCCTATTTGACGTGACCCCGTTTTCACCCTGAACTGGAGATTTTTTTTTTTAATTTCCCTGTTCTTTCTTTAGCTTGCTCCAACCACACACACGAAACCTCACTTCTTCATAAATGCTTTGGGTCTTTAGTGTTCGAGGTTTAAAGAGATTTGCCTAAAATTAAGTTTCTGAGCATGGAGTAATCCATCACTGCCATTTACTCTGCCTCCAGCCAAGAGTTTCCTTACAGGTTTATTAAATTAATACATTTTCTGCCAGGCTCGTGGAGAAAGGTCTGAATGAATTATGATTTCACACAGCATGAGTTAAATCATGCTTCTCAACCCTGAAGCTAAGCTGTGTGTGGGGGGCTGTGCTGTGCTCTTCATCTTGTAACTGGTGGTCCACAAATACCCTGTGACTGTGTGTTTCTTTTTTCCCTTCCTTGGGTTTTTCTCCTGGCAGATAGGGGAGTTTGACATCGTTTCCCTGAAGCAGATTAAAGCGGGAAAAGGCCTCTGTAGTATTTGCTAATGAAATTATTACCCTTCACCTCATTGTTGTCACCCCTGGCTCCTCATCTGCTGRCTGCACCGAGGATTGTTGTAGGCAGGAGTCCACTGGGTGCAAGTGTTTACGCTGTTGACAAACTCCATCATCTCTGCTGACTGAGAACCAAAATGTCAGGCACCGGACAACTCACCATTGTCTTTACATAAACGTATTTTACAACTATTACAATATGTCAATCAGTAGGAAGGGAAACAGGAAAAAAAAGGAACCAGAATCATCTTTTAACTCACTTTAGTCTTTGTTTGCTTGTTCCTGTTTTCTAATTCTCCCTTCCCCGATTCCTCCTCCTTTCTCTCTGGTTCTCCTTCAGTCCTTTTGAACTTGCTGCTTCCTCTCTCAGCGTTTACCTCTTTCATTCCACTGAGCTGAATAAACCGGGTTTTTACTTGTCCTCTTACAAACACACATAGCTTTTATCTTTTGTCCTGTGCATGTGTGTGTGTGTCACACATCTCTAAGTTGACGGTGTTCAATGACAAGGAGGAAGCMTGCAAAGAGTAAATAATAGCAAGAATAAAGGGCCTAGCATTCCTTGAATGAAAGCATCGGTTCCTCTCAGATTTGTGAAGAGTGAGGGTGCGTGAAAGAATTACATTTATGTCACATAAATCTAGCACTGCTTGAAGGAACACGTATTGACCCGCTCCACGTGCCAAAGTTTTAAACAAAAGATCTTTAATGTTTTAAATCTCAGAATATGTGCTGTTGATGACTGTCATCTACTACCATACACAAATTCAGCTCCGTGTTTGTAAAACTGACTGAGTTAAAGCCCCTTTTTTTAATTGGTTGATTAGAAAAGATAATGCAATCAGTTGATTACTTTCTGAATGTTTCATTAAAATCTACCCTGCGGTTCATAAGACTCTGTTCACAGACGGCGAATCGTTCTGTTACATTGCAGCAAGAATGTGTTATTTACCTTTGTGGCCACCCCTTCAACCACCTCTCCCCCCTGAGCTCAGGTCGAACTGGCTGAAGCCGTGCTGTGGACGACGGGCGGCGCTCTGGCAGGTCTGTCTGCTGTCGGCGGGCTTCAACTGTTTCCTGGTGGCCTCCGTCGTCCTCGTGGTGCTGCTGCTGATCCTGGAGCTGCTCATCGACACCAAGCTGTTGCAGTGTGAGTGATGGGGAAACAAAACAACTGTGGGGGGCAGTATGGTTTGAGGTTTTAAGAATGTAAAATTGATGAAGCGGTCTAGACTAAATGTTAGCGTCCTTGGAAAGGAAGGAAAGTGGTTTGTTCTGCTCAGTGTCACTGGGTCAAAGCATAGATCTAACAGAACACAGAGCTTTATTTCTCCATATTAATATCAGCATTAAGCTGTAGGAAGATCAGATAAAAGAAATGAAGAAAATTAGCAAACTTTATTTTTAACAGCTGATAATTAGTTTACATGTATTAGAGCAATAATTCATTTCATTTTTATAAAATTTCATTTAAAAATAAAAATAAAAAAACTTTATACACAGCAAAAAAAATCACACTTAAAATGAAAAGAGGCAGAAAGAAGAAAAAAATCTTATAATATCTGCCCCTTTTTTCCTAAATTAATTTCAAGCAATAATAATCAAGAAACAAAACAAAATAAAAACTTCAATTCCTTTTCAAACAACAACTTTTGATATACATTATACAATTTCATATTTCTTTAACAAACTTATTTTTATCATTCTCTTAAACACATTGAACCAACATTTTATAATCACTTTCCAGCTTATTCCACAATCTTATTCCTTGAACTTTCGATTCCTTGAAGTGCATCGATCCTTCAAATTTGTTCGAATTTAGGTTTTAGAAACATCTCAAGTCCCTTAAGATTATATAAACTTTCTCTCTTAACAAAATATAACTGGATGTTTAAAGGTAAAAAAAATTATGAGCCTTCTACATAATCTGCAAGATATTATAATCAACCAACTCATAAAATTTTAATAACTTCAATTTACAAAATAATATATTCGATGGGTGTCAGAAGTGTTTTCTGATGATAATTCTTATGGCTCTTTTCTGTAAAATAAAAAAGTGTGCTTATGATGCAAAGTTGTTGAATTTCTGTTCTAATTAGTGGTATATTTAGTCCAAGTTATCAGTCATTTGTCTTCAGATCCTCTTATGTTCTTGTTGCCTGCCAGGATTTTGTTTTTCCCTTCCTGTTTGAGTTTTTAAAGTCTTTGCTTGGATCTCGAGCTAGCCTCCTGCTAACCTGTATTTGTGCCCTCTCTTTCATCTCTTAACACACAAATGTTTTAGATGTTTCAGGGATTTATTAAGTTTACTGTTTGTAGACATAAACATAGTCTCTGATCAAATAATCTGTAGTCTGGATAAAAATCAACTAGTCACATTTTCTGCACAGCTAACAAAAGGACAGAAAGTCAAACTTTCAAGTTCTGTCTCATATCCCAATGATCTAAACCAGTGGAGAACTCCTCATCTATCATGATGGTCATGAGTGATGTCAAACAGATGACACGCAGCCTTGCTGCAAACACGTTCAGGTCTCTGCCGTTCCCTTGGGAGTGACTGGCTGATTAAGCACCTGAATGGACGAGCAGGACAAATGTGTGGAGAGAGTAGGCAGGCGAAGGAAACACGCAGAGCTGGCTGCTGGATGATAGCAGGGGAGGACTGGAGGAAGATAAATAGACTGACAGACAACTCACTGAACACAACAAACAAAGACAGATGGAGGCTAGATGTGGCGCGTGAAGACAAATGCCTCAGCTGATAGCCGGGGCGCAGTTTGATGCTGTCCACAATTAGCCTGATGAATAGATGCGAACATCCAAACACATTCGTACACAGTATGTGGTGAATTAATATTTATGATGTTGCTTCCTCCTCTTGTCTACAATGTGTGTGTTTTTGTGCTTCAGTAGATCTATTCTTCCCTGGTTAACAGCTGGTGACAGCCTTTTGAGGTGGTTAAATTCAGCATTTGTCATTCAGCTCTCCATCACAAACATCATTTTTTATTCTGCTTCATTCCCTCAGTTAATAATGCACTCCAGTTTGCCTGCATCATCCACTGGATCAGCCTGGCTATCCTCTCTGTGTTCTTCACCGAGGTGAGTGTTCCTCTGCTCGACGCTGAAACAGTCTCACTTACAGCTGATGCAGCTGATGCCTGACGATTAATGCCACCTTGTGCATTATGTGGGGCCACTGAAGAGCACCAGCAGGTTTCTCACCTCGTCTCTAACAGAGCCATGAAATGCCCTCACGCCCTCTGTCGCAGCATGACATGACTATAACTCAGATATCCTGATTAGCACATACGATGGTGTGCCTGCAACAACGGTTTGAGTCAACTTGTGCAGAAATATTTGTGGAACTGATGCTGTTAAAGCTGCCCGATCCATCCTGCTCAGGCCTTTCAATTGATCCACAGCACAAACATTTTAAAATGCAAATGAAGCTTTTCTTTGTGGCTACTTTTAAATGAATTCAAGACCTCAGGTGTTTGTTTGTTTTTTATAGATTTCCACTTTCTTCACAAGACATTTGTCTTGGTTTCTTGTAGTTGAACACCCTGAGGCAAAACCTGTTATAGTTTGTCATYGTTTTACAGTTTCTGATGGGTCTTTGTTACCATAATTTAGCTAGGCTTAAAGATTGCGTCATTCAGCTCAACATAGTAGCCTAGAAGGAAATTAAACTTTTTAGCACATCCCTCCGTTTTAATAGCTGGGTTTCAGTCACATGGTTTKAATGACGAGTGATTTCAAATGGAGAGCAGGATGGATTTAGATCCAGTTTTAAGACAAAGATACCAGCAATTAGTTAACAGAAACTGTAGGATGTGACCAGTATCTCATGAAGATGAACGACTTTTTGATAGGACCTAAAACTTAGCAGATAAACGAGGCTGTTGATATCACAAACTATCCGGTCCTTCGTCTTACTGCACCAAACAGCAGATGAAAGCCCATAAAAGTCTGGAGGCATGTAACCTTTTTTTTGTCAGTGGTCCACAGTCTTGGTACCAAACTGCTCTATGGTGATAATTGTTTGGTCTTCGCTGGAGTGAGTGTTTGTTCTTACATTGTTTTGTACATTAAGATGCACTAGCAGCTACAACGTCAACAAACACGCAACATCTAACAACACGTAGCGCKAGGTCAGCCTAAAAAGTTCAAATGAAGGCCATGTTAGACTACCGGTAACTTAATAATCACTTCTAAAGAAAAATGAGCATTTTCAGACAACGTAATTCTATTTAAACAGCCACACAAAAAAAGTTAGCTAGTTAACATACCTCTGACAAAATGGTCACTGCAGACATGAGCATTAAAAGACTGTGCTCCTTCCACACTCAGACGTACGTTTAAAATCCACTTTTTAGTCGTAAAAAATTCATAAATGAAACAAAACATGGGCGTTTTTTCAGGTAACAGATCCTCCGATACTTGGCTTCCTGCCCCCTATCTGCATAATACGCTTTTGTGGTACTGCATAGGGACGTCACTGGAAATCAACCTTCTTGAGTTTACTGAGACTTCAAGACTTGATCTTGAATTTTCCTCCCACTCTTCTGCATTTGGGTCACATATTGTGACACTTTTGTTTAAACGTAGTGATAGAAATGTGCAAAATCACTGAAGCAGTTCTATTAAGAGCATTTTATCTACGAGTCACGTGTCAGTTCTGTGTGTGTGTGTGGGGGGGGGGGGGTATTCCCTACGTCGTGGGACAGTTTTTTTTCTTTGTTTTTTGCATACACACCTACTTGTGGGGGACCTAATGGGGACCGGACTTGTACTTATGGGGACCTGAATCTAGTCCCCATGAGGGGAAATGCCGTTGGTGGTTCAGAGGTTAAGTTTAGGGCCAAGGTGTGAATTGAGTTTAGGTTAGTTTTAGGGTCAGGTGAGGTTGGCTTTAGAGTTGGTGGTCCGGGTTTGGCTGTAGAAATTAATGTAAGTCAATTTCAGGTCCCCATAAAGATAGCTGCGCTAGCCCATGTGTGTGTGGTATCAGCTGGTGACATGTCAACAATCTACATACTGTAGTTTTCTCACACCTAAAACATAATTGCTGTTTGATGCTGAAGAGTTTTCTGTGTCAGAGGTTTGTAGGACTGAAACTGGTGCAGCATTGTGTTACACACTGCAGCATTCCTCCTTAAACACTTTGAACAATGGCTTCATTGTAAAGATTTATACAAAAAAGCATAAAGTCAAAGCTGCAGAAACTGACAAATGTTGGCATAAAACTGACCATTTCCCCATTACTAAAAATGGCACTTACAAGTTGAAATGATTGAAAAGGTTCAAGAGCTGAAGACTTGTTTTTCTAGTTCCTGTCTTCCTTAAGTGTCAGCAGAAATAAAATGCTGTGATCATTTTTGGTCCAAAATCCTATTGTACTTTTCATAATGTTTGTGTGTGAACATGAGGTCACTGATAAGCTTACTTGGAAAAATGAAAAAAAAAAAACTGCAAAGAACATTTTCTTGGGACAGTCAGGTTGATTATCGAATTGTTAGCAGAAACAAATGAACCTCTTTTAATCTGTTCTTGTTTTCTTTTCTTCTTTCTTTTCTTTTTGTTTGCAACTCTGTCCCTTCAGACGGTGTTCAGGATCGTGGTGTTAGGGATATGGGATTACATTGAGAACAAAGTAGAGGTAAGCTCTTGTCAGTCCCCCCAAATAAGAACTGTAGAGTCACTCTCTTAGTGTKGTAACTCAACAGCTGCTTTTTGATTTGACTTTAATTTACTTCTTTTCTCAGGTTTTTGATGGAGCTGTCATTGTACTCTCTCTGGCCCCCATGGTGGCCTCCACCGTGGCCAACGGCCCCAGCAGCCCCTGGGATGCAATCGGTCTCATCATCACATTACGCATATGGAGGGTCAAGAGGATCATTGATGGTGAGCCTGGAGGGGGAAGATGTCCCCCAGGTTTTCTAGTTTCTGCTGTAAGAAGGTTTTTGACTGACGCTGCACTCTGCTCTCTGCAACAGCGGCTACGTTCAGTCTTAAAATTGTTGCTGTTTTCTTTTCATTTTTAAAAGATGTAATATCATAAAAAAAGAAAAAAAACTTGCAGTGCTCAAAAACTGATAAAGCCAAATCATTTGAATCTATAAGAACAGAAAGATCTCAATATGAGACCATCATTTTGCTCCCTCGTGTGGCTTTTGTGTGTATTACAGGATGTGTTCAAAAAGATGATTGTGTGTGAAAAAACTGTTAACATTTTCCGCAAAAATTGTTCCAAATATTTTTTTAAAATGTAATTAAGCATCCTTTGTGACATAAATTATATTGTGTCTTGCATTAAAAAAACGTTCTACAATATGGCTAAATAGTAACCCAAACCRAACAGTTGGTTTAATACATTTAAATGTTTTGCAAAAATCTGAACTGATAAGATAAATTGTTACTTTTTGAGGAAATCTGAACAGGCATGATCTTGTTTTGTAGCTTATGTTCTGCAGGTGAAGGTGAAAATGGAGCTGGAGATCCAGCAGTACGAGAAGGCCAAGGCGATGAGGGAGGAACAGCTCGATCGTCTTACCCAGATCTGCCAAGAACAAGCTGTATGTCCTTTCACCCTTTTTACATCTCTGTCAGGTTATAGCTGCATGCAACCAGCAGAGGGAAGCAAAGTGCCATTAAAGAAAAACTTACAAAGAAAAAGGTTATTTTTAAGTCATATTAACGTTTTAATGTCAGTGCAATCATGTTATTGTTGTATGTTCACCCAAAAGAGGAGAAAAAGCTAAAAAAGTTTGAAACTAATGTATTCTAAGTGAAGAGTAATGACTTTTTGTAAAGACTATATTTACAGTAAAGAGTTAATCGTATCATAAAAGTGCTTTGAAGAAAAGTGTTTCATTCCTGTTCATTATTTTTCGTTTAGTTTGAAATCAGACAGCTGAGGGCCCACCTGGCCCAGCAGGACCTGGATCTGGTAGCAGAACGAGAGGCAGCCTTGCAGATTCACCACATGTGGGGAAAACAGAGCAGCAGTTTTCAGGAGGTGGACGGACTCGCTCCTGGGGCCTCCGAGCATCACCGAGCTGCCAAAGTCAGAGAAGGTCCTGCAGGTAACGGTCGACACTTAACTGGGTTTCACTGCAGGCTATGAAAGAAACAGCTGTGCTGAGAGAAAATGAACTCCTGCACTCACATACTGTAAGTTACATACTAATAGATAAATACAGCATACAGTGTGTAAGGAAGTGATAAACTAGTTAAATACGGGCGTAAATGGTTTATTTGAATAGTGTAATTTAAAAAAATTAATCTTTCTGCTCAGATTTTGTTTTTCTCTTTCTAAAGACTTACATTTCCTCCTTTAAAAGGATTGCCAAAATTTGTAACAAACACAATTAAAGGTTGTTCTTGTCATGTTTAATTTTTAACAGATTGTTTAATCTGAAACTTTCTACCTTTTGAGTTTAATAATGCAAAAAAACACTATGGAAAAAAAGTGACAAAACTGAGAAAAACATATTTAAAAAAGGTAARATAGTTGCTAATAAGAGTGTACTAAGTAGGTGTGGCTAAGTTTTACATAAATGCCTCTTTTTACTCTTATTTTACTTTAAAAAATATTCACTGCATAAAAGTGTTGCTTTTGAATATATAAATGATGATGTGGTAGTTTAAAAGTGTCCATAAACTAGAATTAAACAACTCTATGAATTAAGGTTTAGAGCTTTCTAATTTTAAGTAAGTTTAAGGCTCATTTTTGTCCTAACTTAATCTTTTACAAATGAAAACGCCCAGTTATAGCTTTATTTTACTTATGTATGATTTGCTGATCAGCTCATTTTTCAGTGAGCTTTTGTATTTTTTTAATTTATTTTTTCTTGTAGTTAAGAACAAAAAAGAAAAATAACAAATCTGCGGAAAATATAGCCCAACTTTCTTGGTTCTCCATGTTCCACAGTAGCAGCATTTATCAAAGAGTGAAACAGCGTTGGTGTCCTCACGCTCATCCTTCTTACCTTCCTCATCAAAATTCTGGCGCCACGCCTGCACTTTGCCTCGCACAGTGAGTCACAGCCTGGACCATAAAGCTCTCACACGGTGACGGCTCATAACTTAGGACGACCTGGAGCCGCAGAGCACCGTTGTTTTACAGGTGATGTCAGGGATCAAAACGCAGGAGCATTTTGCTTTATCAAAGCTATAAATCAGGTTTCGACCCGCCGCACAGCTCAGCCCTCCTTGTTTGTAAACAGATTTTTAACTAGGCCTGAATCTCGTGCACTTACGTGGCATTGATCACGCCGGGAGATGGTCCCTGTCACAGCTGAGACGGAACGAGGAGGAGGCGCTCGTAAAGATGAAGAAGAAAAACCCAAACATAAATCAACGAGCAGTCAGGGTCCTGGAGACGAAGGTTTCCTCTGATTTAGTATTCTGAAGCACACCGAGACTCAGTATTGATTCAAGTAGTCGCATAAATTGTCATATTAACATATCGAAAAATATATAATTATTAGTTCATTTAATGCTTTTGTCATAAGAGATTTAGCTTTGATTTTTGTTGTGCTGAAGTAAGAAGCTGTAAGAAGTAAGGAAGAAGGGTTCATGTTTAGAACTTAAAGGCACATTTACTACATTTTGCAGATTATTATTTTCTTTGTTATTTGGTGGGTTCTTACTGGAGAACCACATAATTATAAGGTAAACTGTTCAATCGGAATGTTTTGAAAAGCTGAAAATGAGTTTTAATGCAACAACTTCTTGTTATCTTAGATATGTCATATTTAAATTGAAAGCCTGGCATTACTTGCTGCATATCACCAGCTGCATAAAAACTATTAAGTTTAGCAGTTTTGGTCAAACCTTGAATAAAACGTTATGCGTGATCCATCGAGATGTGTTAGTGCTGAGGACGACTCAGCTTTAATCACACCAACCTTCAGCTCAGTTTTTGTAGCTGAGTTACAGCCCCTTTTGAGTTTCTTATTGTTAGTTTGCAGTGGAGGCTTCTTTATTTATTTAGTTTTTTTTTTTTCAATTTCATTTATTAAATGAAACAAAAAAAAAAACGTTGAAAAAAGAAGTATATCAAACTCTTGTTTCTTGACTTTTAATGGGAATTTCTGAGAGTTTCATTACAATTTGACCAGTAGTTCGAGATATTTTGCTAAAAACAGAGACATGGATAGAGTTGGTGACATCAAATTTTTGTAATAAACATGAATGCTTTTTTTTGGAAAAAATAACATTGATAACATATTGCAAAACAAATTTCAAGTCGCTCAGATGAACAGTTGTTGAGATATTGGCAYGTGAAGAAACAGGAAGTGATGTCAAAGGGGAATGTCAGCATGTAAACAAAGCGTTGTTACAAAAGCGAACAACAAGGACTGCAGAGAAGAATCTGATGTTTCTTTAGATTATTTTTAGTCGCTATCAAAGAGAGATGAAGAAGAGTTAAAGTTTAAATAATTTTGTTTTAATAAACCAAGACCAGCAAGTATATTTTATTAATGAGTTCCCCTTTGATGTCACTTCCTGTTTCACTCTGGCTGAGCCAAATTTAAAGGGATCCCTGATTAGATGTAACATTAGACTGTATTTGATAAACATATCTTTTAACTGTAAAATAAAGACTGTAAAAATACTGTAGGCTGTTTAGGTTTTATAATTTTTAAACTAAAAGTTTAAAAATATATTACACAGACGGGGCCAGCGCTAAAGCTAACAGGCTAAGCTGAGGTTCTTCTTCCATGAAGCAGCTCTGTTGTCCTCCATCCATATTTTCAGTTACAGGCTGAGTCATTTCTACCTTCTCCTCTCTGTCAACGCTCTCTGGTTTCATTTAAAAGAGTCGATCGTCAGATATTGTCCAAGATTAACCTTCAGGGTGGATATAGCTCGCTAGCAACCTCGCACCGAGGACCTATCCACGTCATTTACCCAGAATGCTTTGCGTGGAAATAAAATGGCCCCGTCCATGTTAAAATATATTTTTAAAAATAAAAAAAACAGCCCAGCCTAGTGTTTTTAGTCTTTATTTTACAGTTAAAATATATGTTTACCAAATAAAGTCTAATGTTACAACTAATCGTGGATCCCTTTAAAAGAAAACAGGCCAGTAAAATGGGTAAAATCTGTACTATGTCAATTTTCTTAAGTATGTATAAAGATGCTTTCTTTGACTTTTTTTGTATTTAAAGGAATGTCACAGTCACTTTAAACAGTAACTGAGATCTACTTGTAATTATTTATATGTTTTTCATATTTTCTCAGACCATCACGGCCAAGATGATATGAATAACTACATCAGTCAGTACTACAGTGAGCCGAGCAGCGGTGAGCATCAGCTGGTTCAGTGTCATGTACAGTCAGCAGGATGACTTCAACCCATCGTATGTTTGTTGTTGTAGACATGGGGATCCCCGACCCGGCCCGCGTCATCACCACAGCAGCCATAGACGTGCATCTGCCCAACAACCCCAGCCAGCTTCCCTCCACCTTGGTGAGCGCAGAGGCGGTGGGGTCCGGCCGCCTGCAGCGCACGGGCAGCTCGGTCAGCGACGCGTCCACGACCGCGGCATCCCGCAGCAGCTTCAGCGCCCGGCAGCACAGCATCAGCAGCCACACGCTGGGCTCCAGCATGGACTGCAGCTCCACCGTGCGCGAGGCCTCCACGTCCACCAACTACAGCGACCAGCGCTGCTACCCCCCACCCTACAGCAGCCCCCTGGCTCTGGGCACTCAGCCTCGAGGGAGTCCCAGCGCGGTGGTGCAGGAGCTGCTCTCCTCGCTCTCGGAGGACTCCTGTCTCACCCAGAAAGGTTTGGACCCCGTCAACCTCAAGCCTCCCAGCCCAACGGGTTCCACAAAAACCAGTCCGGAACTGGAGCGCAGGCTGAACATTTACAATAAGAGGAACCAGGAGAGCAGGATCGGGCTTCACACCAAGACTGTCATCCATCTGCAGAGTAACGAGCCTCTCCTCGAAGAGAAGTACAGGATGATGGGACCAGTAGAGACTTCAGTCAACCGCCTATCAGAGACGTAAGTCTCCACCATCACAGGACCTGCTGTTCAGCTCAGATGCAAACAGTTTGCAAATCTAACCCTTTTTGTGTTTTGGGGAGTCAAGACTTTGGTTACTGCTCAAACTGATGAAGAGGCACAAACTGAAAAAATGAGAGTTGTCATCAGGTGACACTTCTCAGGAATTGACATTCACAAAAACACTTTCCTACTTTTCTTAAAACAAACCAGCAAAGTGGGCCGAGCCTGATGTTTTCTAACGGCCTGTGTAGAAAACCCTGGCTTTTCATATCTTCTCTTTTTTTATTTTTTAATATACAGGGGGGTGGGACAACGGTGCTGAGGGCTTAAGATCATTTGTGAAGCTGCAATTAATCATCACTTCACCAGAAAACAAGCTGGTGTCTATCACTGATATCACAGCAACAACAACAAAACAAGTCCTTTTTGATGGACTGCTGCAGGGTGCATTGAATTCATTTCATCTTGTGTTCTTTGACTTTCTACATAATTGCTAACATTTTTTTTATCTCAAATGTGAAATTTTAATGCTGAAGATTTTTATTATTCTTTGTGCCATGAGCTGAAAGCTGAAAAAAAATAAACATGAATCTGCTTAGTCACGACCCTTGTAGACAAAATTAATTAAAAACGTCCCTACATATTGGAAAATCTGTTACGATTTCAGGTTAAAAAAGATAAATGTTCTCAATGTTAAGAAGTTGTATTAATAATAGGCCTGATTAAATCCTGAAACAGATTTGACAGATCTAATTTACTGCTGAAAATAAAATGATAGCATGAACCTTTAAGAATCTTGTGACAAACTGTTTATTGAAGAGTAACGCTGCAAAATGAACCCAATAAAGAAGTAAAAACATGGCAAATTCATAAGTTTTAAGTCATCAAATTTAATGTTTTGCTCCTCTTTAAGAACTGTACACATTCGAGTTAAAACAAAAGTTAGGCACTGTACCAGGTTATTAAATAGAAATTACAACATGTACTACTGAAATCACAGTAAAAAGTACAACTTAGTCATTTAGTATTCGCAGGGTTCATAAAGAAACTGACATTTGGGGCTGAGCTGTTTGCTGTGGTCGCTCTGTGGTTCCAGCTGTGTGATGAAGCATCAGTGCTTTGTTTCGTCTCACTTGCTCAGTGCCTCTGTCATCTCAGGTACGGCCTTCAGAGAGAACACAGTAATGAAGTATTTTACCAACACCGCATTATTTGCAGACCAGTGGTACTCACTGGGAGCACGGACCAGAACTGGACAAACTACAGTTAAATATCTAAAAAATTAGCAACTTCAGGAGGKTTTTTTTTTGGGCATACATCTGAGATTTTTACTCTACTTGTAACAGAGTCGTCTGACTTGCATTTATGGCACACAGGAATGACTTCATGATGTAAAGTAATGCCTGCTCATGTGAGCACAAGTGTGAGTAATAAAGGTTTTAGAGACAGATTCAAATGCCTCTGCTGCTGACTCCAGCCATTTCTGACGAGAACCCTCGGCCGCTGCCCGTGTCAACGCAGGGTATCGATTGTCCAAGTGGGAAAAAGTAGAAAGCCCATTCATTTTAATCTGTTATCTGAGGAGTGATCACATGTAAGCTGATCTCACCCAGCAGGTCACAACTCTGCCGCCTCCAGCTTATTACTAATCACTCCTGCAGAGTTTGTCAGGACACCTGGGCTGCTCAGGCACCACTGAGCGGCTGAATAAAATATGACCAACAGGATGCGCATGCAAATATAACCTCCTAGCCTTTCACAGGCAGCAATGGACGCCGCTGTTAGTCATGCCAACACGCCTGGCTCAATATCCCCAAGTACCAACTTGACACAAGAATGCAACTGAGCGTATAAGAGGCCTGGCAAGTAGAAGCTGAGAGCAAAACTAAAGCCAGCTTTTATCTTGTCCTGGATGCATTTTTTTATATATCCTCAGAGATGATAAGTCTTCTCTTAGCAGCAAAACTGTGGCCAGAACCCTCCTTAGATTAATTCAAGAGCTTAATAATTCAGCAGTTGCACATTTCCATTAGGTGGAATAAGGCATCGTGCAAAATTTATAAGTGAAGAAACAAATGTTATATTCTTACTGTCACTCACGGCGGAGAGCTTACAAAACATATAAAGTGAGTGCAGCAGCTGCTTTGTCAACGGCTCGTGAGATTTTAGCAGCTGTCACTGCAACATCAATCCCAGACACTTACCTTGAAAAGATCGGCCACCAGACCGTAGTCAGCCACCTGGAAAATGGGAGCCTCTGGGTCCTTGTTGATGGCAACAATAGTCTGAATAATGAAAGGCACAGAACGGTTTAAAACACATAAAAAAGGGGCATTTAATAAATCTTTGGTTTTATATCGATTTTATTGTGTTTTTAAACTTAAGTTAAAAAAATACACCAAACATTTTCAGAAGGGCTCATAGTTTTAAATTAGCAAACTAGCCCCGATCAGGATATTGTGTTTACGTTGTAATATAGTGGGTGAAGACAAAGAAACTGCACAGCAAAGCAGAAAAGAATGTATAAAAATAAAACAAATGAATAAAAATAAGAGCATCCACCCATATTCGTCCAGTGATTTTACCTTACTATCTTTCATTCCAGCCAGGTGTTGGATAGCTCCAGAGATACCAACTGCAATGTACAACTCCTGCAGACACAAACGATTACTCATGATTACATATCTTCCAGTTCACATTTCAGAGGAGTCAACTACACATTTGTGAACAAAAAAAAATAAAAAGATTGTGTGGTCTGGGCTGAGGCTTTGGGCAGACATCCATTGCATTATGAGTTAATGGATCAGCTAAATCACTTAAAGCATTAAAAGTAACATCATGTACTTTTCTCAAGATCTAATGTGTGGATAATCACAGCTGGAGTATCCCAGCTAAATCACATAATGGCACATTAACCTCTAAAAGGAGCAGCCGCTGGGATTACRCTGAAATGTAGCAGGAAGGTTAACAAGATAACCTCACAACTCAACTTTAGTCAGGCTTTTTTTGTTTTTAACTCTTGATTTGTTGCACAAAATGAGGTTTATCCAGAAAAGATGAACATACCGGTGCTACAATCTTGCCGGTCTGTCCGACCTGCATGTCATTAGGGACAAAACCAGCATCCACTGCAGCTCTGGATGCACCAACTAGAAAAAACAAACATAATTTATGTTCCGATGAGCACAAAAACAACAATAAAGCTAAAAAGCTACACAGTTGTTCACATCGTACCAGCAGCATTCAGTTTGTCTGCAAGGTCATAAAGCAGCTTAAAGTTCTCCCCACTCTTCAGGCCTCTTCCTAAAACAAAACAAAATAAAACACAACTAACTTTACCTTATAAGCAACACATTATAGTTTGTAGAGCAACCAAACATGTTTTGGTTATAATAAACTTTTTCTGAGCACAATCTATGTCTCATGGTTTCTCTTTCATTACCCACAAAATGATGACTTGAGTTTCATTCTGTCTTCCTGCAAAGGACTGTCAGTGAGCTCATACCTCCAGACACGACGACCTTGGCACTTGTCAGCTCTGGTCGCTCGCTCTTTGTCAAATTCTGTTCGATCCACTCAGAAATTCCGGTGGGAGGAGGGGGGGCCACTGCAAGTCAGAGCGCCGCAAAGGATAAATGAAAGTTATTACGATTAACGTTGTCGTAATTCCACCATTTTCAGCTGCAGGAGCTTAAAGCAGAACCAGATGGAGGTCTTTCCTACCTTCTTCCGATGCAGCACCTCCTCCTTCTGTAGGCGCTGCCTCAAACGCCGTCCCTCTGACGCTGAAGACTTTGACTGTCTCGTTACATTTCACAGTGCTGAGGGCATTTCCTGTTGAGCATGTTCAGCATCAGAACTGATTAAACACCAGAGAAAAAAAATATAAAATAAACAGAATCATCATGCCATACCTGCGTAGATGGTCCTGACAAAAGTATCTGGGGACTTAATTTCAATAATATCTGAAACTGGGGCAACATCCAGCTTGGCAGCAACTCTAGGAAGTAGGTTCTACAAAATAAGAGTCGATGTTTGACTAAAAATGGCCAACAAATGCAACCAGCTTTGTGATAAAGGTAGTTTTAAATAAACTAAATAAAATCCTAAGCTTACTTTTCCAAAAGCAGATGCTCCGGCACAGATATGAGTGAAGTTAAATTGCTTCTGTGTTTCCAGGATAAGTGGAGTCAACTCCTCTGAGAACAGCAGAAACAAATTCAGTGAAGACTAATCTTTGGAGGAACAAGTTATTCTGGCAACTGATTACCCACTGTGAAAATAATGGCAGTACAGTGCTTTTTGTAAATATGAATAACATACCTGGCAAGCCACCTTTGTAGGACTCATGTTGGGCCACCAGAATCTTCTTCACTCCCTGAACTTTGCTGATCTGCTCTACAACCTGAAAGGATAGAAACAAATTAAGGATCTAGATCCCAGCATGGATGAACGCACTCTGGTAAGAACTGAAATCTGGGACACTGTTAGTTTCCTTCAGCAACATTACATTTGTAAAACGTCTTTTCGGATCTGTATATGTTAAGAAAATACACAAACAAGTCTATATTTTAAAGCAGTAGTGCTTAATCCTGATCCTCAAGAGCCACTATCCTGCATGTTTTAGTTATTTTCCTGCCCCAGTTCTGCATACTCACTCATTTATTCAAATTGGCCAGAGAAATACCTAAAACATGCAGGACAGTGGCCCTCAAAGACCAGAACTGGGGATCTCTGTTCTCAAAGTGTGTGCTGACTAAAAGCTGCATTTGCCACAAACAACAACAACAAAAACAACAACAGCAACAAAGACCATTTAATTTTTCCCCCTACCTTTGCACAGTTTGTCCCAGCAACCAGACATGTCACATCTCCACCCAGTTTACTGGCAGCAGTGATGGCATTGAGAGTAATGGGGGTCAACTTGTCATTGTTGTGTTCTGCAACCACCAAGGTGCTCTGAAACCTCTGGATAAAACCGGTCTGTCRGGGAACACATCAGAGTCAGTTCAAGCTGCACATCAGCAGGAAAAACACACGTGTTTCAGTGCAGCAGCTTTGTTTGCAAAAAATAAAAATAAAAAATATTTTTGGTAGTTTTTGAAACAAACTATGTTTTGGATTATTACATATTAGGGCTGCCACGATTAATTGACGACTAATTGATTATTAAAATAATCGATGACTAATTTAATAATCGATTAATCGTTAATCTTTTTTTTTTGTTCTTTACTTTGTTTTTCTCTCCAAACTGCTTTGACACCTTCCACTGCCACATCTACCTTTCTGTCCTTGACACACATGCACAGTAGTGGTAACTGGGGTAGGCCGTGGACGTCACAAGACATTATACAGACAGGCTCTGGTATCATGGCTACCTGACAACGCAGCTCAAAAGTGTGGGATCATTTTAAGAAAATGAAAGAAATCCTGTGTAATATCTGCAGAGCAGAACTTGTCTTCCACAGCAATTATTTTTAGTTAGCATATAGCTAAAATCTAACGATGGTTATATAATAGCAGCTGCATTCTGGCGTGATAAGCTCTATGTTTTATATTCAATTAACGTATGATCCAACTAGTCGACTAATCGAAAAAATAATCGGTGATTAATCGATTATTAAAATAATCATTTGTGGCAGCCCTATTACATATACCAACATATACACATATATATATTCATATACCAACTGAATCAGCAAAAATCAGTTAGTCTTCACGTGAACTATGAGCTTTAGGATGTCAATATTTTACTGCCACATTGCAGAACTCTGAAAATTTGTTTGTTGTACACCATTAACGCAAATTGTAAATAGCAATAGATATATTTTGTATTTAAACCTCACAATCAAGTGTGGGGAAGTGCACGCTAAAACAGCTGTATCAAAGCAAAACAGGATAAATACAGCCCCAGAGCAGAGATCTAGATCCCAAAGGTCTTAACCGACGTTTGAGACCCAAATCAAAGGCTCATTTGATGAATTACAAAACGTTTAAGGTATTTTGTTTTCACGGTTTCGTAACTCACGTGAGGTTATATATTATGGCAGCTACATTAGCTATGCTAACACCAAATAACGCTTTTAGTGACAAATAAAACATCCACATTTAAGCTTTGTTAGTATCTACCACAAACATATAAAGTCATTAAATGAAGACATAACTGTATAGGGTGTTTATTCACTTGCAGCATTGTTATAAATCCGACCCCTGTCTATAAAGGAGCTAACCAGAGTTAGCAGCTGCTCCAAGAACAAATAGGATTTCTGACTTCTTCGGGGTTCTAACAATTACAAACAATACACAGTCTGTGTTAGCCGAGTCGTGCACGTACCAAATTCTTCAGGGTAGTTCTGTTTAATACTCTGTTCATATTTGCCTCTGRACGTTTCTTCTTCGTGCTGCTGCCGACAGAAGAGGACTTGATGCGTGCTAAAGGTCTTCTGACGTTTCCAGCGAAATCTCGCGATAAAAAACGAGCGCGAGATCTTGGGATCTTTTTATTTTCAGCCTTTTTTTCAGGCTGTTATTTATCAATTTAAGCAATATGACTTGAGGAAGGTTCATTAACAGTTTTCCTACCGTGGTTTTAATGAAATAAATTAGGCTTAATTCTTCAGAYATTTAAGTCCACTCTGGGGACTTTATTGCTTTGTCCTCTGCAGCTTTGGACACTAGAGGACCAGTGGACAGTCTGTCCACTGGTCCTTTAACTCTATAAAATCTTTTTTTCTCTATGATAATAATTTGTTTTGTCTCTTTTTTGTTGTTATATGCTTTTGCCATCCATAAATTCAGAAACATATGAAAAACATAATCCATACATGCATTTTACATAATTAATAATTTACAAATTATGAAAAAAACAACTTTAAAATAAAGCATTAAAGTAAACCACTAGACACCAGACATTGAAAACCAATATTTAAGTAAATTAATTTTCTTCTCCATATTACCACTACAAAAAAAATGCACCAGAACTGTTATATATTTAAATTTTATCCTATAAGAAAAGAAT